ATTCAGACCTGCTGGTCGAAATCGGGGCCCGATGCTAGAGGCCTTCCAAACGGGCTCCGAGTAGATGGGGTCGGTGGATCGCTCCACATCGCCGATGCATCGGCGACGCCGGCGTGGAGACAGTCGGGCTGCACATCGAGCTGCATGCCCGATGCATCGACGATGCGGCGCGATCCACCGACCCCATCTACTTGGACTCCATTGGCCAATTGGGGCCGTACATGGACATCACATTCGAACCCTGTGGCCCAAGATGCCCCCTAGACCCCCCGAAATTAATATTGATGACGTGGCGACGGGGGGGACGTGAGCGGACAGAAATATTCGAACCCCAAAGCACCGCCTTCACTGAGATCGACATTGATGTCGGGGGCGCGGGGGTGATTTAGAATCTCCCTCGAATGTGTAATTAAGGGGTCGAATCTATTGTCCATCTTCTGGAGGCCCAAGAATCACGGCCCCCCCGAACAAAAGCCGAGATCGCGGAAAGACGCCCGGGTGGAAAATCCGACGGACGTATCGTCGGAGGCCTGGGCGTACAGCCGGGGCCCTGAAGAAGCAACCCTTTTCTATCGGGAGGGGCTCTGCGTTCCTTAAGTGTTTCACAGCTTGCCTTGGGTTTTCCTTGGGTTTTCGACGGGAAGTCGAAGTTCAACTTCTGGAGAAGAGGGGCCTCGTTCCTTATTTAGGGTTCCTTAGGTCAACGCCCCGACTGTATTGTCCATCTACTGGAGGCCCAAGAGTCACGGCCCCCCCGAACAAAACGCCGGGGTCGCGGAAAGACGCCCGGGTGGAACTTCCGACGGACGCATCGTCGGAGGCCTGGGCGTACAGCCGGGGAACTTTGGCTCGGCGTGCCGCGGCGGCGGCCCCGGCCACACGCCTGTGCCCTTGCGATCGGACGGCGCGTCGCGCCGCTCCTCCCCTGACCTTCCAGGAGGGCCAAAAAGTACCAGGAGGGAAAAAAACGCACAGACACAATGAATCGTCGACTCCCAAGAAAATATGGGAAGTGGGGGCGAAGACACAATCCCAGAACATATGGGAAAATATGGGGGATCCTTTTATTTGTGTGTATTTGTTTGCGTGTCCCAGGGCCCCTTAAAAGCAGCACCCGACTTAAAACCTACCCCAAAGCTGTTCTACGTTTTAGGCTGTTTCGCTCCGCTTTTGCGGTTTTTGTTGGTGTCCGGTGCTAAAAGATAGCTCTCTGGAGGAGGAGGAGGAGGAGGAGGAGGAGGAGGAGGAGGAGGAGGAGGAGGAGGTGGTGAAGGTCAGGGTCGGCGTGGAGGCCGGCAGACGCTCGGCGCGCGCTGCTCCCCCCGGGGCCGCGGAGCGGCTGCCGGCGGCACGCGGGAGGGACTCCGGCCCACGGCGGACCTTCTCGGTGCGCGGCTCTTAGGCGGGGGCGCGCGGGGAGGCCGAGCCTCACCACCCACCAAACCACCCCAACCCAACCCGAAGGCCCCAATTGGCCCTCCATTTCCAGTTGGGGGGGGTCGGGGAACATCGAGAAAACACATGTGGAGCCCGTACCCCCCCCCCCAACCCGAAATTCGGGTCTTCGGGTTGGGTTGGGGTGGTCTGGTAGGTAGTCAAAGCCCGAGCGCCCAAAAGCCGCTGCCACGGCATCCCACTCCGCCACCCGGGGGTGCCCCCGGACGTGCCCGCACCACAGGGCTCCGGGCCACGGCTGACCTTTCCCGTGCGCGGCTCCTAGGCGGGGGCGCGCGGGGAGGCCGAGCCCGAGCGCGCAAGAGCCGCTGCCACGGCATCCCACGCCGCCACCGGGGGGTGCCCCCGGACGTGCCCGCACCACAGGGCTCGGGAGCCTTGAGACGGGGGTCAGTGCAGACGGGGGTCAGCCAGGGCGCCGGATCCTGCAGGATCCTGCGAAGACCCCCTCTGGCTGACCCGGGTTCGCGAGCCGCTCGTGGCCGCGAGGCGGCCGCGCCTATTGGCTGACCCGGGTCTGCGAAGACCTGCGTTGCAGTTTTTTTGGTTGTTCCTGCATTGCAGTTTTTGGTTTCCTGCTGACCCGGGTCTGGATTGACCCGGGTCAGAAGATCCCCGACCGCACCACAGGCCACTGCATCGAAAGGTCACTCTTGCGCGCAGCCGAGGCTGGCGCGCCGCGCCGAGGCGTGGTGGGGCGCAACACCAGCGCAGTGTGACACACGCCGTCCACAAGCAAGTTACTCCCCCCCCCCCCCCAGGAAGACGAGATCGAGGAAAGGCGCCCGGAGGGAACATCCAACAGGCGCGTCGTCGGAGGTTTGGGCTCGAGATGATTCGCCTCGAGTCTCTCCGCGCGGCGGCGGCGACGTCCGGCGTCGTCGTCGTCGTCGTCGTTGTCAATCTCGTCGTCGTCGTCGTCCTCGGACCCCCAATCGCCCATTGATCGCTGTTAGGGGCCCGATAGCCCACCTCGCCCAGGAACCCGTGGTCTCGCAGTCGGGGGCGCATCGTTGATCTATCGGCGAAGTACCCCCCTTCAAGGTCGACTTGCCCCCCTCCCTTGGCCAGGTGCGCCAGGTGCGCCAGTTCGCGTGGCCGCGCACGTCAGGCAGGTGGATCCCCCGCGCTGTCCCGGTCAAGCGCCACTGCGAAGTAGGAGCGGGGCGGTCACCGTGGCGGGCAGCGCGCGCTGCCCGCAGTGGTTCGACTCCGCCTTTTGACGGAGACGTCGAGCCAGCGCGCAGCGGGAAACACGATCCACTCTTCCACCACCATCTCCGGCAAGAGAAGGCAACTTCAGAATGATGATGGTGCGTCGTCGCATCGTCACTCGCGCAGGGCCAACCGTGCATGCGTGGTTCTTGTGGAAGCGACGAGCAAGAACCCCGCTCTGGAAACAAGCCGCGAGGCATCTGTAGCGAAGAGGAGCGGAGGACCTGTAGGGTATTCCTGGAGGACGAGGAGGAGGAGAAGGAGGAGGAGGAGGAGGAGGGGAGGGGGAAGAGGAGGAGAGTGGGGGAGGAGGGGAGGTGGAGTTTCTGCCGCACGCGCCCTGTGTATGTCGTCTCTTGTCAGGCAGGGACGACGCGGTGGGGGTGGGCATGCGTCGGGTCGGCGGCCCCTCGCGAGCGGGGGAGAGGGGAGAGGTGCGGGGAGGAAGAGAGGAGACGAGAGCGGGAGCAAGAGAGGGGGGGAGGGAGGGGAAGGACGGAGGACGGGGGGCAGGGACTGGAGGGAGAAAGGCCGGGGGGGGGGAACCGGTCATCGCTTCACCTCTCTCTCTCTCTCTCCCTCTCCTCCCCCACCATGGCCCCTCATGCTTCCTCTGGCCGAGTGGAGGTTCGGCCGTCGATGCTGCCGGCATGGTCCCTCGTCCGAACGCTTCGTTCCGCCATCTCCCGCCCCTCCTCCCCCTCCTCCTCCTCCTCCTCCTCCTCCTCCTCCTCCTCCTCACCCTCCTCTTTCTTCTTGACGTTGCGCAGACATAGATCGGAGATCGTTGCGTTATTCGTGCTGCAAGAAATAATCGTCGACTTAGGCGAAGTAGCAACCACATTAAGCAGGTGGCGGGCGCTGCGGGCAAAGGGAGGCAAACAAGAAAGGCAGCATAGTGAGGCCAACAACGGCGCAGCGTAAGCGCCCGCCACCTGCACTGGAGGAGGTAAGGTACCTGAGGAGTACATGATGACGATGGAATAAGTTATGACCGAGATCAAGGGAGGATACTGAGTACGGAGAGGTCGATATACGCGTGTCAGAAAATCAGGTGACTCGTGGAAGGCGGCTATGTTTGGAGTTACCTTGGTATCCCATCCTCCACCCCCCATACGATGAATACCTCATTGTCCCCCTTGGTTTCTCCAGGCAAGCCGTGCCAAGATAAATACGCAACGCTAGGAGTAGGTGCAAAAGAGAGAGTGTACAGCTACTGGCAGTGTGTGATAGGGCTCGCACAGACTGTGCTGGCTGGCCCTTTCGCGAAGTAACATGTAGCAATGCTTGAGCTGCTACCCGTGTCTTTTCGGCTCCTCGGGGAGAGGCTTCTTCACCGTTCCAGTTCATAGGGGGGTTGGGGCCGTCATTGTGGCCACTGTTGTGTCTCCTGTCCACACTATAGACTGGCCTGTGCTTTTGAAATAGGACTGTGCAGCGAGCATCGGCGAATGCACATAGGCTGAACTGGCCTGTAGAGCGGCAGATGTGAGGGCACTTCTTAGGTGAGATAGACACGTTGAGATGAAAGGTTGGAGGTCAGAATACGGCGATCCTCAGTAGGGCAGGATCTCCTCCGCCGAAGGCCAAACTGGCCAGATCGATCCCACACTCATCACATCCTCCCCATCCCACCTCCATAAGATGATCCAGCCCCGTCGCCTCTCCCCGTAGTAACACCGTTGATGGCAGCTTGAAGTTGAGGGGCAGCTGTGCGAAGAGTGAACGCGTGCAGGACAGTTCGCTTAGTCATCCTCTGCGGATGCTTGTATACAGTGGCTGGCTCAGGCTGCACTGGCTGGCCACACTTGTAATGTACCTATGCTGGCCTGCAACGTGTCCGAGAAAAGGCTGGCGCTGACGGTATTGGCTGGTCCAGCTGTTCTCCCAATAGGTTTGCCCTATAGGAGTCCAAGCTCAAACCCTACTATTTGGTCCGTTGTTGCCCCTCCTAATTCATTTGCCCCTTAATTCCTATGGCTATGCCTATGCCTATGCCTATGCCTATGCCTATGCATCCCCCCTTAACTCCTATGCGTACGCCTATGCCTACGCCTGCCTGTTTGCTTGCTTGTTTGCTTGCACGCTTGCTTGCTTGCGCGCTTGCGCGCTTGCTTGCACGCTTGCTTTCTTGCTGAGTTACGGGTTCCAAGCATACGTAGTTCCTCCGATTCCTTGATTTGATTCGTCTGGTCTGTTTGGAGTCAACGCTGGCTGAAGTTTAAACACAAGGTGATTGTGAGGCTTGGAAGTCTTGAGGCTATCTCCTTGGCGCCAAGGGGGGCCAGGAACATTTGCTGATCCACCTCAAAGCAGAAGGTACTTCCCCCTCCACCAAATCACCCCCGCCTCCAACCCCGCAGCCTCCCCACGGAATGCCACCAGTGGTGGCAACTTGAAGTTGGGGGGCAGTCGTGCGAGAGATGAATGCGTGCAGGATGGTAGCTTAGTCACCCTCTGCGTATGTCTATGTATAGTGGCTGGCTCATGCGGCACTGGTTGGCCACATTTACATTGTAACGCATGCTTGCGTGCAACAGGCTCTATATACATATACATACATATATATATATATATAAACGACTGGCACTGGTGGTGATGCTTGGTCCAGCTGTTTAAACGTCTCGATGATTGCAAAGTTTAAGAGCCAGAGGGTATGCGAAGCACATTCGACGGATGGTCTAAGAGAGTGCAGCGAAACTCAGGCGCACGTGAGTAGGCTGAACTGGCCTGGACAGCGGCAAATGTGAAGGCAATCTCTAGGTGAGATAAGTACGCTGAGGTGGAAGGTGGACGGTCAGAGTACGGCGGCCCACATTAGGGCAGAGGCCCCTCCGCCGAATGCCAAAATGGCCAGACCGACCCCACGTACACCACATTCTCCCCATCCCTGGTCAAGTACTAACCCAACTCCATCACCCATCCCAGGCCAATGCCCGAGTGCTGCTGAAGCGTCGGCGCTGCCTGATCTTAGCAGTGTCAGCTGGGACGGCAGCCCATCCTCAAGTGTCGCTAAAACGGGTCGGCACTGCCTGACCGTAATAGTGACGGCTTGGGCGTGATGTCAGTAGCAGGGTGAACAAACATGATCGTGACGCAATTTGCAAGGTGCCTGCAAGGTAAGGGATGATTGGCATGGTGATGGCTTGAAAGCTGTGTATCTTGACGCAAAGGCTGCTGGAGATGGAGTGTCCCCGTTGCGGCTCTTCAGCAGGCAACAGCGGCGGGGAAGAAACATGGGGAGCAGGGGGGAGGTAACACGCCGAGAGAGGCGAGTGTCAAAGTCCGATGCCTCCGCGAGCGGAAGACCAGGGCATTGGCCTTCACCAGCATTCAGTGGGGCACTTTGCCCTGAGGGGGGAGGAGAAGCCCACAGGGGCAAATGGAGCGGGAAAGGAGAGAGGAGTAGGACAGACGGACGACCGACGAAAGCAGGGGGAGCAGTGGGTAAGAGAGGCGTGCTGGGCCTTCAGAAATCTTCGCTCTGCGGTAATTGATGTACTGGTGGTTACTGTCGTGGGTACCGCGAGGCCGTAGACTCTGCCATGCTTACTGTAGTATTGCCCAGTCTTGGTAACCAGAGCAGGCTGTAGTATCTGGTATGTCCACCATCCCCAGTAAGGGCTGCCGTCCGCCAGTCGCGTTGGGAACCTCGGTTTCGCAGTAGGTGGCGCCTTGTGCTCACGTGCTGGGAACGTCGACGCAGTAGTTGGCGCATTGGGTTCTCGTGCCGGGGACTTTGACTTCTGCATGATTGGCGCTGCCATGACTGTTGGTACTTCTGGTTGCTGTCGCAGTTCTGCTTGGCGTCGGTTGCGCTGTCGTGCTTCTCTCAGGTACTGCTTGTACTGCGTCTTGTGGTTGCGTCTCGTTTCGATCTAGTCCAACAACCTTTGGTTTTTGCTATCGCGGGCTAGTATCCTTCCAAGATGTTCCGTGTGTGACGCCATTGGGGTGGCTCCCGTCTGTCCATCTTGGAACTGTTTTGGGGTGCCTTTGGTGGGAAGTAGATCTGCCCTGTGGCGAGCGTCTGGGGTGCTGGCTCTGACGTTGATCCAGCGATTGGCCCTGGCAGCTTCTGGCTGTGGGCAGACTCTGGGGATCCTGAGGCTGGGTGGGTGGCGGGTGACTTGGGCTTCTGATCCTATGAATGATATTGGGCTGCTGGGTCGTATCGGTGTTGGTCTCTGGTGCTGGCTGGTTTGGTGTGTCCGTGTTTGCTGTCTGGTTGTAGTTGGTTGATGATGGTTGGTTGATGTTTGTTGCTTGGTCTTTGGTGCTGGCTGGTTTGTGTTGGGGGCTGGTGGTGCGTCGTCGTTGGCGCCGTCGCTGGAATAGTCCTCCTCCTCCTCCTCCTCCTCCTCCTCCTCCTCCTTCTCCTCCTCCTCCTCCTCCTCCTCTTCCTTCTCCAACTCCTCCTCCTCCACATCCTCCTCCTCCCGAGCGCAGTCGGCGGGAGGGCCCTGGCGGCTCCCGTCAGAGGAGCAAGAAGTATTGATGATGCTGATGATGATGGTGAATATGATGATCTGGTTGTGATGGGGATAGGGATGGTGATGGTGCTGATGATGCTGGTGATGATGGTGATGCTGATGCTGATGCTGATGGTGATGATGATCATGATAATGAGTGTCAGAATGGGGATTGCGTTGATGATGTTGACGATTCTGATGATGACGATTCTGGTGGTGGTGATGATGATGATGACGAGGATGGTGACGAGGATGAGGTTGAGGATGAGGATGCTGATGGTGATGGTAATGATGACGAGAAAGAAGGGTTACGATGAGCATGATTATTATCATGATAATGATTATGATGATTACGATGATGGTGAGGGTGATGGTGATTGTGGTGTTGATGACGATGCTGATGATGACGAAGATGATGGTGATGATTATGATGATTATGATGATGATGCTGATGATGATGCTGATGCTGATGCTGATGCTGGTGATGATGATGGTGATGGTGATGGTAATGGTGATGACGATGATGACGATGATGATGCTGCTACTGCTGATGATGATGATGATGTTGATGATGATGATGATGCTGATGATGCTGATGATGATGATGATGATGATGATGCTCCAGGAATTTCGATATTTCCCGCGATTGCCGACGGTAGAGGGAAACAATTACTGGACAGTCCCCGTCTCTCCCAACTTAAAAATTGGCACGCGCGGTGAAGACTGTGGTCGAAATGCAGCTCATGAAACTCACTGCCAATTCTTGATACTTTGGAGGCGGGGCCTTGACAGATGAATGTGGCGTGGGTGTTCGCTGATTTCTTTTCAGGCCCTGACTGTCCCGCGCGAGCTCTTTAGAAAAGGAGGGACTCTGGCACTTAGTTGGCCCTGGAAACGACAGGGCCGTTTTTTTACCGGTTCCGTTTTGCCGTTTTTGTTGCCGGTTCCGACGCCGTTTTTTAACCAGTTCCGTCGCCGTTTTTTGACCGGTTCCGGCTCCGCTTCCAATCCTGGAGCCGTTTTTGTTGCCGTTTCCGGTCGCCGTTTTTTTGCCGTTTCCATCTTCAAGGGGCATTTTTTGGAAACGGTGAGAAAACGGCCCTGCTGTTTCCGGGGCCCACAAAGCTCTGGCACTCTTGGGGCGTGTGGTGAGGCTCCGGGCTGCGCACAGAAGGCCCCCCCCCCCGTTAGCCCCGACTGGCCTCAGCGGGCCCCCCGAGTTTAGGGGAACAAAAAGTGGCATAAACAGAAAAAACCTCGGAGGTCCGCGCGGGTTCCTCGGATCGGCGCTGGACCCCCAGTTCCGTCGCCGTTTTTTGACCGGTTCCGGCTCCGCTTCCAATCCTGGAGCCGTTTTTGTTGCCGTTTCCGGTCGCCGTTTTTTTGCCGTTTCCATCTTCAAGGGGCATTTTTTGGAAACGGTGAGAAAACGGCCCTGCTGTTTCCGGGGCCCACAAAGCTCTGGCACTCTTGGGGCGTGTGGTGAGGCTCCGGGCTGCGCACAGAAGGCCCCCCCCCCCGTTAGCCCCGACTGGCCTCAGCGGGCCCCCCGAGTTTAGGGGAACAAAAAGTGGCATAAACAGAAAAAACCTCGGAGGTCCGCGCGGGTTCCTCGGATCGGCGCTGGACCCCCCCCTTCCCTGGCGCGCGGAGCGCGCCAGGGGCGGCGCCGGAGGCGCCGCCGGGGGGGGCCCCCCAGCGCCGATGCGAGAACTCCGCGCGGACCTCCGAGATTTTTCATTCTAGTGTCACTTCGGGTTCCCCCGCGAGGGAAAAACATGACAAATCTCGGGACACAAAGGAACGTCCCGCATTTTAGAAGGGCGCCTCGACGGGCCCCTCGAGGAGCCATGGGGTCGGCCCCGGCGCCCCAGCCGCGGCCGGGCGGAGCGCCCACCCCCCCCCGGGCGGAGCGCCCGCCGGGGCGCGGGGAGGCCGCCCGGGGGCCTGCGCGGAGGGCCTGTGCAGGCCAGCTGAGAGGGGTGACCGCGGCCGTGCGGCCGTGCGGCGCCCGCGAGGCACGAGGCGCCCGAGCGGCGCGCCACGCCGGAGGCGCTGGCGCGCCCGGGGGCGGGCAGCGGCGGGGCGTCGGGGGAGGGCGGGCGCCCGCAGAGCCAGCGCGACGCGCAGGGGAGCGCCCTGGCATCGGGGGGGAAAAAGATACGGATACGTGTTGTCCCCCTTCGTTTTCGGCCTTTCCTGGTCCTCCGGGGGAATCCTCGTCGTCACCGCTGGATTCGCCTCGAAATTCTGGTCAGAACGCACCCCAAGAGAGGTCCGGGGACAACACGTATCCGTATCTTTCCGCCCCCCAATGGCAGCGGGCGGGGGGCCGGCCGTGGCGCACCCTGCCCGGGCAGCGGTGGCGCGCCGGGGGCGAGAGGGGGCGGGGGGCGCCGCGTGGGTCAAGCAGTGGCGAAGCGTCCCGGCGTGCCTATCGCCCTATGCCAAGCAATGTTCTCAGAGCCTGGGGTGGTTTCCACGACATGCTCTCAGAGCCTGTGGTGGTAGGACCATCTAGGAATGCCGGGACGGTCGGTCCCTGCTCAAGAGGGGGGGCGGGGGCGCCGTGGGAGCCCGGGCGCAGGGGCGCGAGCGGAGCATATGCGCGAGTGCAGGAGTGGCGGAGGAGTGCCCCATGTGTTCCCATATGTTTTGGGGATCCTCGTCTCCCCCCCCCCCACACTTCCCCTATTTTGTTGTTTCCCTTCTGTTCTGGGGGAATCGACGGCTCATTGTGTCTGTGCGTTTCTGTCCCTCCGGGGCCGGGGCTGCCGAGGCCAGCCCAGGACGACCCGGGGAAGCTGCCCGTGCCCCTCCCGGACTGCCCCACCCATTCGCATCCCTTGGCATCGCTCGGACGTGTGCAGTCTTCCTTCGGCGAGGACCCTCGAGGAGCATCCTTGAGCACTTGGCGAAAAAACGGCTCACGAAGTCGAAAAAAGCACGGGGAATGGACGTCCGAGCGATGGCCAGATCACGGCGTCGCCCTCGTCCCGTCCCCGCCCCCCGAGCCCCCCGGCGGCAGGTCGCGGGGCGGTCCCTGGAGGCCGAGCTCGAGGGCCAGCGCCAGCTGCAGACCTCGCGGTCCGTGGCGCACGCGTGCGACGAGCGTAGCGGCCTGCTATCGGGCGCACCTCCCGGAAGGTTCGAGTCCGCCTCGTCGCCGGCGTACGCGTGGTCGAAGCGCTGCCTGCAGTCCGGCTTAACCCCGCGCAGTCCGGCCTCTTCCCGCTTGGCCCCACTCGATGCCATTCAATCCCGTTGCATCCGACTCGATCCGGAGCTTTGTCCAGCCTGATCCTGTTCAGTGGCCCCTGTCGTGCGGAGATAAGACGAGGATGAACAATCCGTCTCAGAGCGCTCTGGAGCGCTCTCAGAGCGTTCTGGAACGCTCGGAGAATGCCGTGGCGCCCGAGACATCCTCCAGAGCCACCGGACCTCAGAGATGCTCGACTTATCCTCACCCGAAGTTATCCCCATCCTGGCTTCGTCTGACCCTTCGTCGGGCTTGGTGCCCTCGTGCTGGCGAGCACCTCTGCAGAGGCTGCCTCCTAAGGCCTTCGCGCCCCGCGACAGGGGCATCGCGGGTCAACCGTGCGCGGTGACGACCCGTGCGGTGAGGCCGTCTTGGACTTCGAGATCACCGCGCTGCTTGTCACAGCACCGTTTTGGGTCCCTGGCTCCAGCGAGGGGGTCCCCCGTCGTCTTACGGTCCCGCGCGCCCCATGGGGCCTTAACGGGGTGGGCCTCATGCGCAGGTCGGGACAGCCGTGAGAGATGCCGTATCCCGGGCAGATGCATGCCGCCTTGTTTGCAGAACCAAAGCGAAACGTCGAATCCGACTTGGGGCCAGAGAATGTGCGTTTCAACTATTCCAGAGAATTGTGTTCTCATTCTAAGTATACTCTCTCGGAAGATGTCTTCTCACCACCGCGGTGAAGTGTAATTTGTGACGGTGCCCCATCCCGCCCAGTATATAGCCATGCTCCCATCACATCCTGGCCATTCGTACCCCGAGCTCCTTCCTCCCCTGTCCACCACAATCAGCGCTTTCCCCCCCTGCCTTTTTTGTTTCTCTCTCTCTCTCGTTTTCTCTTTCTCTCTCTCTCTCTCTCTCTCTTTCTCTCGCCTCCATCGGGTCAGCCCCCGCCGTAGTCCGTATTCGCTCGCCTCCGCTGGAGTGCGGCACTATGTTTGCAGCGCTTGGCCGAGTCTGTGTTGCACGGCCCGCCCAGCACCGGGTAACCATGGTGACAACGCAGTTGCGCCGATCATGCAGGTCATTCCCCCCCTCAGTCTGGCCCAGACTTTCATCAGCATCTCCCACGCGAGCATCTCGCTCGAGTGCCTGGTTTGTCACTCGAAGGTCTCGAAGCCGACGCAGCCGAGAAAGCTGACATGGAACGTCCGAGTCCGAGTGCTCTCCACAAAGGTGAGAGCCACCATCCAGACAGTCGGGGCCCTGAAGAAGGAACCCTTTTCGTTGGGGAGGGGCTTCGCGTTCCTTAAGTGTTTCACAGCTTGCCTCAGGTTTCCCTTATGCTTTCGATAGGAAATCGAAGTTTAACTTATGGGAAAAAGGGGCCTCGTTCCTTATTTAGGGTCCCTTCGGTCAACGCCCCGACTGTATATCATTGTGCATGTCTGTGCGACCTCGGAGAGTGCATGCGGCGGCCTGGGATCTGCGTGAAGAAACGAGTCGGAGGCCTCGGAAGCCCGCCCAGGCTCTTGACCCCTCCGCGCCCGTGGAGGCATGTGCGCGCGAGGCTGGCTCGGAGCCTGCCGCACGCCCGATCTCCACCGGCGCCCGCCCCCGCTGCCGACGCAACTCGTTCTCCGCTCTCCGCCCTCTCCTCCAGTCTCCGCCGCTCCTCCGCCTTGTCCGCCTGGCAAGTTCTGCTGCCGCCCCCGACCCTGACCTCCTGGGGGGCGTCCCCCAGAGGCGCCACGGAGACTCCCAGAGAACGCCTGGCGCAAGCGTACGCTGACGAAAGGCTCTCTCCCCGATCCTCGGGGGTTTGGGGGGGGCAGAACTCGGCACGAGCCCCCCCCTCCCCCCCTGGCCCTTCGGCCGGAGGAGACCTCCTGCAATGAAATTCTTGACGCTTCGCGCATCCCCCACCAGCTCGCAGGCGCCGGACTCGTTGCGATGGGTGCCGCCGGCCCCCTCAACTCAGCGGTGGAGTTCGAGGGCTGCGCGCTGAGTGGTTCAGCCTTCCGCGTCTTTTGCCTCTTGTTTTCCACCGCCGACAGCCTGTCTCCCGGGCTCGTGCTTCTTAGCTAGCCGGGTTGGCTGCTTGGAGTTTGGCGCCGCACGGGCGACTCACTCCGTTGCACCCGCACCCGCGGCCGCTTGTACATTTTGGTATATTGGGCGGCGCCTAGGTGCGTCTGCTGGCGAATGCAGAGCATTTTGTTCAGTGCGTGTGCAACTGCACGCTTGTTGTGCAGGTGCGATCCGGCCTGCCAACGTGGCGGTTGGGGTCGCCAATTCGCTTTGTGCCGCCCGCCCCGGACATTGCCCTTCGCCGCCAGACCGTTGTCGCGCGGCCGCAGACCAAAAAAACATCCCCACCAGCCCATCCAGAAACGACGCCCGGGCGAGATGCCTCCCATAATGTCCTCGGATGTCTCTTGGAAGTCTTTTGGAGGCCTCTTGGGGAGTCTTGCAGGCCTCTTGGCGGTCCCGGAGGCCTCTTGAAGCATTTTGGGTGCCTCGGAGAGTCTCTTGGGGCGGCTTGGGGGTCTCTTGGGAGCCTCGTGCCTCTTGGAGGCCTCTTGGGCGCCTCTTGGGGCCTCCTGGGCGCCTCTTGGAGCCCTTTTGAGGCGCTTTTGCGAGCGTTGAGAGCGCTCTTGGGGCCATCTTGGAGGAGATCGATCAAAAAAAGATGGGAGCTCCAATTGCGCCCCCCCCCTCGGGGGCTCCCAAAATCGCCTCTTGGGCTCCTGTTTGGGCGCTTTTGAAGCGCTCTTGGGCGCTCCTGGGGCCGTCTTGAGGCTCTCTTGGGCCTCCCTTGGGGCCCTCAGGGGCCCTTTTGGAGCTGCCTTGAGGCATCGGAAGGCCATCGGAAGCGAAAAGGCGAGAAGGCACACATCAGTGATTTGCTCACGGTTTTTGCGAGATTTGGGCTTCTTGTCGGCTTCCTGGGGGGGCTCCATGGCCACTTGGAGCCGTTTTGGGGCGGTCGTGGGGTGTCTTGGAGCATATTGGGAACCATATTGAGCCATCTTGAGTTATCTTGGGGCGTCGTGGATGTCATCTTGGGCTTCCTGAGGCCTTCTTGGAGCCGTCTTGGGCCATTTTTAAATGCTCTGACCGCTCGCGGGGCGCCCCGTCCAGGTCCAGGTCCAGGGGGGAGGGCGTGGGGGGAGGTGTGAACCCATTCCCGAAGGGGAAGAACAGGGTTGGAAGCGGAGCCTCCCTAGACCACCTACGCCGAGAGGGATGGAGGAACTTGTGGAAGAGGTGGTCCGCATAGGCCGCTCCTGAGGGCCAGCCAGCAGCCAACTCAATTGGAGGAGGTCTTATCCGGCGCCTTCCCGGGGTCGCTCCCCCCCCAGCCACCTCGGAGGAAGGAAGGGCGACACCACCGCAACCAGGGGCGTGCCACCTCCCGCGAGAAGGGGGTCCACGATGCCCCCTCCGCGCGGGGGGCAGAGGTGGAGGGGCTCCTCCTCCTCCCTCCCCCTCCTCCCCCTCCCCCTCCTCCTCCTTCTCTTCCTCCTCCTCCTCCTCCTCCTCCTCCTCCTCCTCCTCCTCCTCCTCCTCCTCCTCCTCCAACTTCTGGTGGTGGTGGTGGTGGAAAACAAGCCCTCGCGCCGCGCACCCCCTGTGGGAGTGGGGAAGGCCGCCCTGGCCCAGACCGCAGGCGCGCGAGGAGATCGCGGCCCTCCTCCTGCGCGCTCCCTGGGCGCCCCCGCGCCGCCTCCCTGGGCGGAAGGGCGGCCGCTCTGGCCCGCACCGCGGCGCACGGGGCGCCGTCGTCCTCGCGCGGGTGTTTCGTGGCGATCTCGCGCGCCGTTTGTTCGTCCCGATGTGTCGTCTCGCAGCAGAGGCAGAACGGAGACGAAACGAAAGGAAACAAAGACACAGCGAAGAAGGAAAGCACTGGTTTCAGCTCCGGCCCTGGGTCTTGGCGCCGCTTCCCCACGTGCTCCTCCTCCTCCTCTGCCTCCTCCTCCTCCTCCTCCTCCTCCTCCTCCTCCTCCTCCTCCTTTTCCTCCTCCTCCTCCTCCTCCTTTTCCTCCTTCTCCCTCCCTCCTCCTCCTCCTCCTCCTCCTCCTCCTCCTCCGTCCTCCTCCTCCTCCTCCTCCTCCTCCTCCTCCTCCTCCTCCTCCTCCCCCCCCTCCTCCGCTTCCGCCTCCCCCGGCCCCCGGCCCCTGCCGCATTCGAGGGAGCCGCCTCCGCCGCCCGAGGTGCGACGGGTACGACCTGCAGTGGGCCCAGTGCCGCGGCCTGCCCGAGTGCGGCGAGCCCGCGCCTCGGAGCGCGGGCCGGAGCAGACCGCGCGCCCCTCGGAGCTCGTCGCCGTCGCCGTCGCCGTCGCCGTCGCCGTCGCCGTCGTCGTCGTCGTCGTCGTCGTCGTCGTCGTTTACGTCGTCGTCGTCGTCGTCGTCGTTTACGTCGTCGTCGTCGTCGTCGTCGTCGTCGTCGTCGTCGTCGTCGTCGTCGTCGTCGTCGTCAGCGTCGTCGTCGTCGTCGTCGTCATCGAGCCGTGGCCCCCCACTCGTCCCGCCCGCCCCTGCCCGCCCTCCCGCGCCGGGGGCGCGCGCTGGGGCCCTGGGCAGGAGCGCATATCCCAGCACTGCTTGGGGGAGAGCCCTATGCTTTGCACGGAAAGAGATATACGGTGTGCATGTTGTGACATGTGTAGTGCACTGTACTGTGCTCAGAGTGTGCTGCCCATGTCCTACAATACATCTGGCGCAAGCGATCTGCAGCACGCACTTGGTGCAGCGCATGAGGCGCAAGCTACGTGGCGCAGTCGTGCCCTTCGCGTGCGGTGCAATATACTTTTGAACCCGGAAGGCGTCAGCCTTCGCATGAGGCGGGCACGAGGCTGCCACAGCCTGGCACCAGGCGAAAGCCCACTATGCCCCGCTTGCGAGAACGCCCACGGGCGATACGAGCTCTTTCGACCGATGGAGGAGGCAGAGGTGTCAGGAGAAGAAGCACGGGGAGGAGAACGGCCGTGATCGGGCGCGGCGACCGGTGGGAGGAGGCCAGCAGGTATACGGCTCGGTCAGAGTGCAGCCACCCAGGGCCGCGACCGCGCGGTGAGCCGAGAGCGCCCGAGGTGCTCGCCGGTGGACTGCGAGTTCGGAGACTGGGGCGAGTGGGAGGACGGCGACGGGTGCTCCAGCGGACTGCCACGATGTTTGGGAGCGGCAGGGCGCAGCAGCTCCGTCTCGCAAGCACGAGCGTGGCTGTACAGTGGGAGCCCAATGCCAAGAAGCATTCTGCTTGCCTCCAGGGTGCCCTGGGTTTCTTGGGTGTCGATGGTTTTGCTATGAAAACCGTGACGCTCCCACACCAGAAGTCAGTGGAAGCCCTGGCGTCTCAGGGTTGGGCTTCCTGTGGAAGGTATCTTGTGGTCGAGCTCCTACCGTAGAGCAGCATGAGCAGCAGCAAGGGAGAGGCGGACCAGAGCTGCGTCAGACAGCTGCCGATGGAGCGACGTGGCGAGGGCACCCCGCATCGTGTATCAGGGGCAACGCTAGAGTTGAGTCGGGCCCGTCCCTCTACAGGAGGAGTATTGAAAAACAGTCACAACATAGTTTGGGGACTATTTTTGGAGTATGTTTTTGGCCACTCTGGGGGTATTTTTTGGGGGATTCTTCATTTGTCGTCGAAGATCCCCCTGTAGGGGGACGCGCCCGATCTTACGTTAGAGCGAGAGATATTACCAGCCTGGAACAGATCCCTATCCCTATGCTGGGCATCTCCTCATCACGATGTCAATCTCAGGGATTCCCTTATCTCTTGAGGGCGCATCCCTGAGATTGTCATCGCCTTTTTGGCGTGGCAATCTTAGGGACAGGGATAAGTCCGAGGCTGGTCAAGATAGGCTCGACCCCCAGTACGTGGCCTCTTGATCGCCGACCGGGGGGCCGGCAGCCCACCCGGCCCATGGGGCTCGCGGGGCCCAGGTCCGTCGGTTTCGGTCCCAGGCCGTTTTCACTAAAGGGAGGTTGACTAAAGGGAGGTTTCTCCACGGCCGAGGGACGCGCCCGACCTAACGTTAGGGCGAGAGATAGGCTCGAGGGGGGCGGGGGACGCATCGACCCCCAGTCGCTTCTATGTTTCGTCGAAGATCCCCCTGTAGGGGGACGCGCCCGACCTAACGTTCGAGCGAGAGATGGGTTCGAGGGGGGGGGGACGCGTCGACCCCTGTAGGTCCACGGCCGTGCGGGGGAGGAGGAGGAGGAGGAGGAGGAGGAGGAGGAGGAGGAGGAGGAGGAGGAGGAGGAGGAAAGGAGGAGGAGGAGGAGGAGGAGGAAGTAGAGGAGGAGGAGGGGGAAGGGGGAGGATGAGGAGGGGGACGCGCCCGACCCTGGAAAACGTTGGAGCGAGCGAAAGGGGCTCGCAGCTGTGGGGGAGGGGGTGGCTGGGGACGGTCTTCGCGTATTCTCGACCTCCGTTCGCCTCTCCACCGCCCGACAGGGGGGCCCTCAAGCCCCACCCCGCCATGGAGGGCGAGCGGAGCTTCCGTCCCCCCCCCCCCCCCCCCCCCCCCGGCGGCCTGCCGCCGAGCCGTCGGCGACGGTGTCGCCGACGCGAAGCTCGGCACTTTTGAGTCGGGCCTGTCCCTCTACAGGGCGATTGTTCAGAAATAGTCACAAGATAGTCTGGAGACTCTTTTTTCATTATTTTCGGCTCAAATCAAAAATATTTCCAAAAATCAAAAATCAGTCAAAACTAATCAAAAATAGTCAAAAACAATGAAAGCTCGGTGCTTTTGAGTCGGGCCTGTCCCTCTACAGGGCGAATGTTCAGAAATAATCCCCCAAAATAGTCTGGGGACTCTGTTTTCACTATTTTCGGCCATTCTGGGTGTGCAGTTTTTTCCGTCGCTGTCGGCCACGGTGTCGCCGATGCAAAGCTCGGCCCCTTTTGGAGTCGGGCCTGTCCCGACTCACAAACAATCCAAAAATAATCATAAAATCATCAAAAATAGGCAAACATAGTGAAAAAATAGTCAAAGCTCGCTACTTTTGAATCAGGGCGAATGTTCAAACATAGTCAAAAAATAGTCTGGGGACTCTTTTTTTCACTATGGTTGACCATTTTGGGTGCATTTTTGGGTATGTTCGATTTTTCGCCCAAAGTCCCCCTGGTAGGGGGACGTGCCCGACTTCACGGTACGTCCCCCCTGAGCCCGTCCCCCTCGAGCGCTGCTCCGCACGACGCCGCGAGGGCATCGCCGCATCCTTGACCCCGCGGCCCGTCTTTGACGGGCGTCCCGTGGGGTAGTGCGTGGACGTCCGAGGGTACAGTCGGGGCCTTGAAGAAGGAACCCTTTTCGTTGGGAAGGGGCTCCGTGTTCCTTAGGTGTTTCGCAGCTTGCCTCGGGTGTTCCTCATGTTTTCGATCGGAAGTCGAGGTTTAACTTATGGAAAAAAGGGGCCTCGTTCCTTATTTGGGGTTCCTTAGGTCAACGCCCCGACTGTATTGCGCCCTCCTCGTGCATCCTCGTGTCACTCCTGTTTGAGCGCAGGTGCTGCCAGGGAGGGAGGGCAGTTCACGAGGCGTGACATGCCAGCCTGGCGCTGGGCCACGGTTCGTTTGTATGTGTGCGAGTTTTGCGCACGAACGTCAGTCTGCAGGTGAAGGGCAGGCCTGCGGTGGCGGTCTTTGATTCGCTCTGCTATTGCAGTCCCGTCCGTGGCACTTCTCCCACCATGGTCACGTGTTATGTTTGTTGTTGGCGTCATCGTCATCCGGTAGGTGGGAGCAATTACTGGACACTCCCCCGCACCCCCAAACCCAAAAGTCGGCACGCGCGGAGGAGACTGTGGTCGAAGTAGAAATCGTCAGACCCATCGCCAACTTTGAACATTGGGGGGGAGTGGGAGGCGTTGACCGATGCATGTGGGATCAGAGCGTGAATTACCTACCCCGCTTTCGCTTCCAGGCAAAACCAAGCCATACCACGCGCCTCCTCGTCAAGCGGCCTGACCAGCACAGGCTGCAATGTGGCATCGCTTGGCATCTCTTGGAAGCGAGGGTGGTCAACAGCGAGGCAGGTTTGTTTTTTCCCTGTGGAGTGCGTGTTCGCTAATTTTTTTCCACGGCCTGTGGCTGCCCTCTTCGCTCGTACGGCTTGCGCGTCGAAGGAAAAGCCGGCCAGCCAGCAGGTGCCCCGCGGAGGCGTCTCCTCCCCCGACGTTCCACCATGGGGCCCCCCAGAAGCCCTGGGGCACCTCAGGACCCTCCAAGATCGACGAAGCAAGACTTCATCTGAGATCCAGGACCCTCCAAGGTCGACGAAGCAAAACCTCCAGGACCCTCCAAGATCGACGAAGACCCCCCAGGACCCCAAGATTTCTCATTGCAAGACTTCTCTGACAGCGAGGCGCTCGTGTGATTCGGAGCGAGTGGGTCAGGAAGCAGTCCTCCACGCCGCCTCACAACAAGATGTCCTTTCGCTCGTGCCTACTGATTTTTTGTCTACGTGGAATCGACTTCTCTACCCCTTTCGATTTCATCTTCCCAGTCTTCTCGTCCTGGTGGACTGGACCTCCCGCGCTCCGTCGCGCCATGGCCCCTCCGAGGTGCATTGGGCTGAGATTCCGCGATCGCTCCATCAAGACGCCCAACAACGAGTGCGGGCAGCCTTGCGAGGAGAGCGGGGTGGGGACAGATAGCGTTGCACTGCTTAGGCACAGCCTGCGGGGGGGGGGAGGAGAGGACCACGAGGACCACGGCCAAGACTGCACGCGGACACGTGGGCGCCGATCTTGGTCGTCATCCACCCTGGCCACCGTGGATTCGTGGACCAGCCTCGCGAGTCGGCGACGGCCGGCAGGGGACATGACCAAGATCGGCGTCGACGAGATCCCGCGACACTCTTGTAATGGTCCTCCTCCTCTTCCTCCTCCTCCACCTCCTCCTCCTCCTCCTCTTCCTCCTCCTCCTCTCCTCCTCCTCCTCCTCCTCCTCCTCCTCCTCCTCCTCCTCCTCCTCCTCCTCCCCCTCCTCCTCCTCGGGAGGTCGGCCTGCGCGGGCCCAGGGCAGCCCCCTCGGGGGGCCGAGAGGCGGGCGTGCCGCGCCTCTGCGGCACTCGGCGGAGCCCTGCTCCGGCAGAGGCCGCGCCCGAGAGGGCTGGGGGCGCCGGAACTCAGCGGGCCCTGGCAACGACAGGGCCGTCTTTGTTCCAGTGGGGGCGTGTGCCAAGAAACCAGCTGGATGTTGCCAGGCTGCCCTGGGTTTCTTGGGTTTCGATATGCCGCCCAATAAGATCTTGACGATTTTCGATCGGCAGTGGGCCCAGGCAACGATCAGAGCGTGAATTACCTGCCCCGCTCTCGCTTCCAGGAAAAACCAAGTCATACCACGCGCCTCTTCGTCAAGCGGCCTGACCAGTGCATGCCGTAGTCTGGCGTCGCTTGGTATCTCTTGGAAGCGAGGGTGGTCAAAAGCGAGGTAGGTTTGTCTGCCCCCTAAACGACAGGGCCGTTTTTGTTACCCGTTCCGTTTTGCCGTTTTTGTTACCGGTGCCGTTTTGCCGTTGCTTTCTTACCGGTTCTTTCCCCCACGGTTTTGGAGGGGGAGGGTGGGGTTCACTTCGCTCGGGAGCTCTCGAGCGAAGTGAACCCCACCCTCCCCCTCAAGAATCATGGGGGGGGTAGGGGTAGGGTTCGCATGTGGCCCCCTACCCTGGCAGCGACAGGGCCGTTTTTGTTACCGGGTCCGTTTTGCCGTTTTTGTTGCCGGGTCCCGTTTTGCCGTTTCTTTCTTACCGGTTCCGTCGCGCCGTTCTTTTGCGGGTTCCCACTCCGGTTCCACTCCGACTCCTGGAGCCATTTTGTTGCCGTCCGTTTTTGTTGCCGTTTTCATTTTCAAGGGACACTTTTTCGGAAAAGGTGGAACCAGCCTGGGGGGAGGGCGGCATGTAAGGGCCAACCTTAAGTCGGGCCTGTCCCTCTACAGGGGGACTAGTCAAACATAGTAAAAACAAAAGAAGCAAAACAAATGGTCCGGGGACTATTTTTGAGCATTTGTTGACCATTTGGGAGCATTTTTGGAATATGTTTTCGTTTTCGTCGACAATCCCCCTGTAAGGGACACGCCCGACTTACAGCTGGGGGCGCCGGGAGGGTGGAACCATCATGGGGGGACGGCGGCATGTAAGGGCTAACCAGGGGGGGGGGGGACGCTCGGGAACGACCGGGTGCGGCCCCGCTTCTACCTCCCCCCCATCACTCCTTCGAGGCGTCCGCGTAACGCGTAACCCAAGGGGAGCGCCTGTAGGCGCTGCCCGTGGGGCCTCTCTGGCAGCGAAGGCCCGCGGGGTGTACAGGTCGGAGGCGCTCTCACACGCGGGAGTGTACCCCACAGACAATGTGTCCCCGTCACTCCTTTCCCTCCCCCTCCCCTCCCTCCCCTCCCCTCCCTCCCTCCCTCCTCCTCACTCCCTCTCCCACCCTCCCTCCTTCTGAAGCCGATGTGGCTCAAGCCTCTCCCTCCCCCCCTCCTTCTCAAGCCAGTTTGGCTCAAACCGTTTTGGCGCAAGGCCCGGTGCCATGTCGTTCTGGATAGTCTCACGAAGTCGTTATGTCCCTCGAAGCGTCGATCAAGAACTGCTGCCTGACCAAACAATGGAGCGCCGCACTGCGGTTGCTCCGCGAAGGAATTCCATTGGGTGTGCAACTCGTCCCAAGCCACCACGTTGCGACTGTCAGCGCATGCAGAAAAGGCGGGCAATGGCAACACGCGTTGTCAGTGCTCAGTGAGATGTGGGAGGCGAAGCTGGAGCCCAACGTCATCTCTCCTACAATGGCTGGCCCAGCGCTCGCGGAGGTGCCCGTCGGTGGCAGCGGACCTGCCCCCTCCGGCGGCCCCTGCGAGCCCCAGCAGGCATCGGCGCGCTTCCAAGATAGCCCAAGAGCGTTCCGAGACGCACAAGGAGGCCCCCAAGAAGGCCCCCAGACGACCGAAGACGGTCCAAGAGGGCTCCGAGACGCGCCCAGAGCGCTCGACAACGCTTCAGACAGCCTCCAGACGGCCCAAGAGACTTCAAAAACGCTCCAAGTGGGCTCCACGACGAGCCCCAAGAGAGCCCGAACACTGCAAAATCATCCCATTCCTTTGGGAAAATGTACATGTTGGCAGTTCCCGGGCTTGCCCTCAACAAAGCGTCCAAGGCGGCCATACAGGGTCCAAAGATGGCCCCAGGACGGTTCCTGAGGCGTCCTTGACGGCGCACGGGGTACCCAAGACAGCCTCAATAGCAGCCCAGGACGGCCCAAGACGGACGCCCAAGACGGCCCCAAACAACCCCCAGACGGCCCCGACAACGCCTCAGACGGCTTCCGGACGGCCCAGGAGGCTTCTAAAACGTTCCAAGTGGGCTCCACGACGATCCCCAAGAGAGCCCGAACACAGACAAATCATCCCATTCCTGGGGGAAACGTGCATTTTGGCAGTGCCCAGGTTTGCCCTCTTCAAAGCGTCCAAGACGGCCATACAGGGTTCAAAGATGGCCCCAGGACGGCTCCTGAGGCGTCCCTGGCGGCCCACGGGGTACCCAAGACAGCCTCAAAAGCGGCCCAGGACGGCCCTAGACGACCCCCAGACTGTGCCCAGACTGCCAGAGACGCCCAAGACGGCCCCAGACACCCCCCAGACGGCCCCGGACGGCCTCAACACGGCCCACGAGGCACCCGAGACAGCCCAAGAGGGCCCCAGGAGGCTCCCAGAAGGCCGAACGAAGCGCAGGGGCCCCAAGATCACGGCCCGATAGAAGCACCGAAGACCTCACCAACAGCAGCCACAAGACGGCCTGAGACGGCCCGAAAGCGGCCCCGCAACGGCTCCAAGCGCACCATTGGTGGCCGGTCCCAAAACGCCTCGCCCGCTCCGTCCCGGGAGGACGCGCCGGGCGGGATGCTGGTCTGGCGGCGCGGCGGCCCAGAGTCGGCCCACCGATTCTGGGCCGGAAGGCTGGTGGCCCAGAATCGCCCCGGCCAGCCCCAAGATCACGGCCTGAGAAGCACCGAAGACATCACCAACAGCAGCCAAAGACGGCCTGAGACGGCCCGAAAGCGGCCCCGCAACGGCTCCAAGCGCACCATGGGCCGGTCCCAAAACGTGGCCGATTCTGGGCCCGCGCCCGCGCCGTCCCGGGCGCGCCGGGCGGGATTCTTCTGGTCTGGCGGCGCGGCGGCCCAGAGTCGTCCCGCCGATTCTGGGCCGGACCCTGCCTGACCTTCCAAGAGGGCTAAAAAATAGCACCCGACCTAAAAACCGATCCCAAAGCTACTCTACGTCTTGGTTTTAGGCTGTTTCGCTCCGCTTCTTAGTTTTTTGGGTCTCCAGTGCTAAAAAATAGCACTCTGGAAGGTCAGGGGAAGGCTGGCGGCCCAGAATCGCCCCGGCCGGCTCCGGAAGCGCGCGCCGGACGGGATTCCATGGGCTGGCGGCGCAGTGGCCCAGAGCCGGTCCCACCGATGCTGGGCCGTGGCAGGCGGGTGGCCCAGGAACGGGTAGGCCCGCCCCGGAGGCGCGAGAACTGGCCCACATCGGAGCTCAAGAGACGGGGGTCAATGCAAACGGGGGTCAGCCAGGGCTTTGGATCCTGCAGGATCCTGCAAAGACCCCCTCTGGCTGACCCGGGTTAGCGAGCCGTTCGTGGCCGCGAGGCGGCCGCGCATATTGGCTGACCCGGGTCTGCGAAGACCTGCGTTGCAGTTTTTTTTTTCTGCATTGCAGTTTGTTGCTTTCCTGCTGACCCGGGTCTGGATTGACCCGGGTCAGGAGATCACCGACCACAGGGCGCGCTGGGCGGGGTTGTTGGCTGGCGGCGCGGCGGCCCAGAAGTGGTCTCGCCGACTCTGGGCTGGCGGGCCTGCGGTCCAGAATCGTCCTGGCCGGCCGCGGAAGCGCGCGCGGCGGCCCCGCGGGGCGCGCCGGGCGGGATTCTGGGCCGGCGGCGTGGCGGCCGAGAGAGTCGGCCCCGCCGATTCTGGGCGGGGGGCCCAAAAGCGGCTGGCTGGCTCCAAAGGCGCGCATGGCCCTGGGAGGGAACAGATGTGTCTTCCAGGGGAGGAGCAGGACTCTGGGACGGCGGGCCGGGGGGCGCCCAGAATCGGGTTGGCTGGCTCCAGAGGCGCGAGAGGCAGCCCGGGGCGCACTGGGCGGACTCGATTGGCGGCGCGGTGGCCCAGAATCGGCACCGCCGACTCTGGCCCAGCGGGCCGGTGGCCCTGAATCGGGCCAGCCTGGCCTTGCAGCCCGACGTCGCCGCCGCCGCCGCCGCCGTCGTCGTCGTCGTCGCCGTCGTCGCCGTCGTCGCCCTCGGCGTTGCCAGAGCGTGGCCGCTTCTCTCAAGCAGTGGCGAAGCGTCCTAGTTCGCCTATAGGCCTGCCAGCGAATGTTCTAAGAGCCTCTTTGTGGTTTGCACGACATGTTCTCAGAGCATTTCTGGTTGAGACTGTCTTGTTTTAACACATCGGGTAATGTTCTAAGAACATTGTATTTGTTATTGCAACAAGTTTGGGTTCTAAGAACATTTCGTGGTAGGACTATAGGAATGCCGGGACGGTCGGTCCCTGCTCAATTCTCCTCGTTGCCTCCTGCGGTGGCGAACTCCTCATTGTGATTGGTGTTTCTCATTCGCCCTCTCCCTGCCCCCTCCCTGCCCCTCATCCGCCTCTGATTCCTTTTCAAGTATACTCAGTGCGAATACTACTCTCCTCTTTCCCCGACTTCGTGCTGCAAGTGTCCCGCCCTCCCCGTGCACCTTTCCACACGGGATGCCAATCGAAGCGCTTTCCACCGTGAACGTTTGTTTTGTGTCTGTTGCAATCGAAGCGCTTTCGGTATTTCTGAATGGTATTCCTGCTGTAGCGTGGGCTTTGCACCAAGATCGGCGCTTTGCTTCCGTGGGTCAGACTGGCGTTCTCGTCGCAGCGCGGCCACTGTTCGAGATCCGAGTCCTTCCTCGTCGTTGTGGCTCCGCTCCTTTCCCCTCGTCCGCCTTCGCCTGGTCCTCCTGCTCCTCCCGCTCATCCCACTCCTGGTCCTGCTGCTGTTGTTCCTCCTCGTCCGCATCCTTCCTCATCTTCCTCTTCCGCCTACTCATCCTCCAACTCGTCCGCAACCTCCTCCTCCTCCTCCTCCTCCTCCTCCTCCTCCTCCTCCTCGTTACACTGAGGCCCGCGCCATCCGGCCATTACAGTGAGGCCCACGCTCGTGCCCGGGAGGGCGACCTGCGCGGCCATGCCGAGGGAGAAGGCCGCCTCGGCCATGCGGCCGGCCACTCCGCCATCCTCCAGGGCGAGCAGCACCAGCCCGCCCCCGCGGCGCCGCAATCGAGCGCCAGCCGAGGGTCTCCTGGCAAAGTTCGTCCACCAGGGATGCCTCCCATGATGGCGCCACAAACTCGCAACCGAGCCGAAACATCGCACTCCGCTTCCGCCGCTGGCACCGCCGCCGGGACGGAGGTCCCCGCCTCCGCATGGGCTCGGGCCGCGCCGACGGGCTGCGCCGTTGCAGCCTCGAGGGCGACCGGGTTCTCCCCTTCGCGCCGCCACGCTCCTCGGTCGCGCAGCCCCGCCGCAATGCGCGGACGTGGCAGCGCCCCTCGCCCATCGGCATCGCCTCGGCCTTCTCCGCCGCCACGACCGACGCGTCCTCGCATGCAGGCGACGAGCAAGTCGAGGGCGCCAGTGCCGCAGATGGTCGAGGCGCCCATCGTGCATTCGGAGGCGGACAGGACGGCGGTGGAGGACACGGTGGAGGAGATCGCGGCGAGGCCCCACCCGCCCAGCAAGTCGCAGGAAGCCGTCCGCGTCGACCGCTACCCGCGCACCGAGCACCACGTGTCTAAGCCCCTGCCCGAGGACATCGCCAGGCTCATCTTGTTCCCGGGCGGCTGCTGGAGTCTGGAGCAGCGCGCAGCGCTAGGGCACGAGGTGCGGGCGATGAGCGGCCAGCACCGCGTCGTCCCCGACGCGCTGCCCACGGTCGCAGGAAGGCCAGTGGCACCGCCTGTGATGTTGGTGGCCCAGCGCCTGGCAGCGCGCTGGACCGGCGCGTTCAGCCAGGAGTGTCGCCATGCGTGCCGCCGCCATTGGCGGCTCGTGGCCGGGTCGATCTGGCCCGGCACCTTCGAGGACCCGATGCTGGCCTTGGACGCCCAGGCCGCTGAGCACCGTCCTCGGCTTCTCTGTCGCTCGCCCGAGCCGAAGAGCAGGCTATCCAAGCCAGAGGACAATAGCCGCTGCTGCCCTCTGGACCGCCACCAGGGCACGGTGCACAGGCGCCTGGTTTCCAGGCCGCTGACGTGCACCCGCTCCAGCTTCGCAGGCCTGGAGGTTGACACCAACACCAAGATCGGCGGTGTGCCTCCACCGAGGGAAGAAGATCCCGATCTCGATGATGGTGGTAATATTCTGGCTTCCAAGGTGGCCGAAATATTACCACCAGCACCGAAATCGAGGGCCATCTTCCCCCTGTGGAGGCACCCCCCCGTGTTGGTGTTGGTGCCAATTTCCAGGCCTCCAGCTTGCCAGGGGATGCCGGGCACCCACTGCCAGCCGCGGCATGGAACAGTACGTTCAGCAGCACTGGCAAGGGCAGCAAGGACGGCGCGGCCCAGGCCCAGAAGTCGCGGCGGAGGTCTCCACGGTCGGGCCCGCAGGCTGCCCCAAGGGAACGCACCGCGGCGGCCTCGAGAGCAAGAGGGCGCGGGACGCGAAGCGGGCCACGGCCTTCAAGCGCCAGCGAGGAAGGACGACAAGACCGACGACGCCGGAGAGGAGAGGCACGACGAGGAGGAGGTCCCGCCCACAGAGCGCGCGGAGGGGTCCGTCGCGGACGACACCGCCGCGGGGCTCGGACCGTCCTCGCACCGCGCTCGTGCGCGGCGGCGCGGGAGAGGACGGTGACTGAGCGGCGATGCGAGGCTTAAGTCGGGCCTGTCCCTCTACAGGAGGAATATTCAAAAACAGAAATGCAGGGGACTATGTTTTCAAATCTTTTTTGACTATTGTGCGGGATTTTCGAACTATTTTGTTTTTTCTCGTCAAATCCCCTTGTAGGGGGACAGGCCCGACCTAATGCGAGGCGCAGGACATCATCTGCCGCGCCCCCTTAGGGGAAATCCCGACCTTTCTCCAGACAGCCAGTCCAAGGCTTGGCATCGCTCGAACCTGCGCATTTTTTCTCGGCGAGGACCATCGAGGAGCATTTTGCGCTGCGAAAAAGCAAGACACGCACGAAACCGAAACATGCACAGGGAATGGACGTCCGAGCGATGGCGAGAAGGTCTCGTCACAGACCCGTGCCATCATCCTGACGGGCCGTGCGTCGCACCACGTCGAGTTTCGCTCGGTCTTTCTGCCGTTTCGACCGCGCCGCACAGCCCTCACGTAATTAATGGAGGATGACGATTAATAAATGACCGGGGGTCGTCTTCACGCGGCGGCGCCCGGGATGACGATTAGAAAAAACTGGCCGCGGGTTGGAACACTATTCTTTTTAATCGTTCTCCTCCAGTCAGAAAATTGTGCAGAAATAGCAGGAAACTATTTTTTATCGTTCCCCCCCATTTTGTTTATTAATCGTCATCCCGCATTATACACGGGCACAGCTCACGGCAGTCCGCCTAACACCTGCTCAGGCGAGCTGCCCTGTGCCTGCCATTCTTAGGAGCCCGGGCGCGCTCACTGCTGCTTGTCGGTGACGGCGCCCTCGGCCGCGCTCGGCGCGCGCTCGCCCGGGTGGCATGTGTCGGCATCTTGTACGGATTGGGCGACCGCGCGCGGGAGTTGGACAGTTCTGTCATTCCCTCGCGCGGGAGCTGCTCGATCGCGCACGGACTGTTCTGTCAGTCCCTCGCGATCGTGCGCGAGACAGTTTGCTCCGCGGGAGCTGCTCGATCGCAGGCACCAGCCCGACATGAATTAGGATGCCTCGCTGCGATCGGGGCTCGCAGCTCCATGGCGCATGCATCTGATGTGAGCAGAGGTGGCGCAGTGCCGCCACGCTGTCTTCTCACCGCCCCCCCGTACTTTTAATCTCAGGAGGGAAAACAAACACACAGACACAATTAATCGTCAACTCCCAGGAAAATATGGAAAAATATGGGAAGTGGGGGGGAAGACAGAAGCCCAGAAAATATAGGAAAATATGGGAAATTTGTTTATTTGTGTGTACTTATTTGTGTGTCCCTGGGCCCCTTCATAATTCCCTACCCTCCTCGCACATCGCTCCGCATTGCCCACCTTGTCCTTGTCCTTCCGTGCCACTGTCCTGCCCCCAGGGGTCTACCACCGAGTCGAGGAAGCACGAAACGAGCTCGTGCGTCCCAAAGGACACGGACTGCGGCTGGTCGCAGTGGTCCGAGTGGACGCCTTGCGCTTCGGAGGTCGACCAGGCAGCGGAGCGGGAATTGTGGGCACGAGGCATGTGGCTTGCTCCAACAACCCGGAGACAACAAACAAACAAGTTTGCCATCTCTGTGGGGGGGTGGGTCTACATCCGCCGGCCTTCCGCCAGCTGAGCCGCACTCGTTTTTCATCCGCCGCCCTTTCCGCCCTCTTCCGCCGCGGATGAGATCCTCGAAGGTGATGCCCCTCCTGAAACCCCTTACGTGCACATCCACGGCCCGCGCCGCGAGCCAGGCGTTCGGGCCGCGCGCCCACGGACATGGCGGGCTTTTGTTAGCAAGTGTCTCGCGTGGAGCGCGTCCGTGCGGCCGCGAGGGATGTGGATATGAGGCGTTCCAGGAGAAGGCTTCGCTTCCCAGGATCGGAGGAGTTGGCCTCCCTGTCTCGGCGGACGGGGGGCGGAAGGCGGCGGAGGGGAAACGAGGCCGTCTCCACCAGCGGAAGCCAGCGCAAGGCCGGCGGAAGTCGACGGAAGTGACAAAAATGCGCCCCCCAAAGACGGCATTTTTGTTTGGGTTCAGGGCTTCAGGGCTTCGGGACACGCTCTATGGCCGCCGCTCGTGTGGGAGGAGGGGGCGTGTGCGCGGTAGAAGCTCGTGCCGCCCCGGACGCGGCGGCAGCGAGGGGGCATGAACGCTTCAACGCTTGACGACCCCCACAATCGAGAGGCCGAGTTCAGGACCACGTTGGGTTCGGGAAGGCTCGGGCTGTCGAGTCGTTCCTCACATCTGGGCCGGCGGGAACCCATCAGTAGGCGCATCAAATAGGGAATATGCCTGCCAGCGGGTGCCCCACGGAAACGTGTGCTCCCCCTTGGACGGCCCCAGGCACCCACAGTAGCTCTGGAGGCACTTGGGCGCCCTCCAAGATCGACAGATCATGTGCCACAGCAAGATCTCGGCGTCACCCCAACATACTTGCAGTACGTGTGCGTCGCCCCCCCCCCCGGGATGACGCGCGCACCGAGAAATCTTGTAGTATGTGTGTGTGTGTGTGTGTGTGTCGCGGCGGGCCCTTTCTGGCCACACAGGCAGGATCTATACCACAAGATGGGTCTACTATATGTCCGGGTCGGACGCGCGCCTCCAAGGAGAACATCTAGTGCTAGTATGTCTCGGTGCGTCCCAAGATTGCTGCAGCACGATTTCTTGCCGTACGTGTCCATGGTAGGTTGTCCGCGGCGTACCTTTTCCTGTGCAAGCTCTTCGGCACCACCTGCACCCTGGGCCCCGCCCTCTCCGGTCGCCTGAGGCCCCGCCCGCCTGTGCCCTGTCTCCCTAATTAGAGCTGTGTGTAGCCTGCCTATCTTTTAGCGGAAGAGGTTCGCTCACGCCCCGCCGACCAAAAAGTGTCCATGGTGGGTGGAAAGCCTCTTCGTGGGCCCTTGTGCCGGTCTCCCTGTGCTTCGCATGGGGGCTTCTCTCGTCGGCGTGACGTCCCCATCCAGGAGGGGAAGAAGCACACAGAGGCACAATGCATCGTCGACGCCAAGGCAAATCAATAGGGAAGACGTGAGAAGTGGGGGGGGAAGACGAAGCTCCAGAAACTGTGGCAACGTGTGGGGCATCCTGGGGTGGATGTGTGTATATTCATGTGTGTGTGTGTCCCTGGGCCCCTTTCAGGCATGCTCATATAGGATGTCTGCGTCGCCCCCCCACCTCCAGGGGCGACGCGCGCGCGCGCCGAGACATCTTAGAACCTCGGCAAGTCATGTGGAGACCCACCGCACCGCACCTGTGCTGCGCCTGTGCTGGGAACAATACTGAAGGGGGGAACCAGAGAGGGGAGCTGGAGAAAAAATGTAAAAAAGGGAAGAAGGGAAGAACTCTTAGAACCTCAGTAGGTCATTCGAAGACCCACCGCACCGCACCTGTGCTGCGTCTGTGCTGGGAACAATCATGAGGGGGGGAACCAGAGAGGGGAGCTGGAGAAAAGGGACGAGGGGGGGATGGTAGAGCGGATTCCCCCTCTTCCCTCTTTTCCAGCTCTCCCCTCTCTGGTTCCCCCTTCCTTATTGTTCCCAGCAGACGGTCAGGACTCACGCACGGGACGCGCGCGCGCCTGTGTTAAAAGTAGCGCCGCACCGAAACAAACAATCCATGGGGGCTTTGGCCGAGCGATCGCTTAAGCTCTGCGCCAGACAGCAGCATAAAACAGATATCCACCTCCAGCATCATCCTCCTCATCATCCTCATCCTCCTCCTCCTCCTCATCATCATCATCCTCATCCTCATCCCCATCCTCCTCCTCCTCATCATCATCATCCTCATCCTCATCCTCATCCTCATCCTCATCCTCATCCTCCTCATCCTCATCATCCTCATCATCCTCATCATCATCCACATCCTCATCCTCATCCTCATCCTCATCCTCACCAGCATCCTCATCATCATCCTCTGGGTGCCAGGATAAGGCTTCCCGGCGCGGAAGTGGTATCCTTTTGCCGGAAGGGGGGGAGGGGGCTCTCGGTGATTTGCCAGGGCTATGGTAAGCTCCGTGGCAGGCGAGCTCTGGCCGTACCCTTCGGCCTTCGGGAAACGATATACTACAAGGTGTTTGTACAGTCGGCCTGGATTAGTAGGTCGACCCTGCCAGATCAAGGGTACCTTTGTGTCTTGTGTCTCGCGACCCGTGCCTCCTGCATTCCTACGGCAGTGTGGCCCTCGGAAGGGTCTTGCGTCCTCTCGCGTGTCCTGTCCAATGAAGTCCGACTGTACAAGGTGTTTACACTATCTGTTCGGTCTGGACGCACGCCTCCAACGTCAGCACACAGCGTACTCCTATGGCCTCCGGGGCCTCAGCTCCAGGCAGGCGCAGGATCGGGAGCACCACGGCTCCGGGGGCCGGGGGCGCTCTCTGGCCAAGCCAGCGGCGCCCGGGGCGCATCGATCCTCCAGGCCCGCCGCTCCTCGGAGCCAAGTCGGGCATGTCCCTCCACAGGAGGAATCTTCAGAACTACCTTTCAAACATAATGTGGGGACGAGCTTTCTACTCTGTTTGACTGTTTTTTGACGTGTTTGAGTGTGTTCTAGTTCTGTCCCACAAAATCCACCTTTGGGGGAACATGCCTGACCTGACCTTTTAGAGATTCCTGATGCATCCCCGTCCGAGTTTACCCTCGCACGGAGGCGGCGGGACTCGCACGCGCGATAGCTCGCACGCACGGAACTCGCACGCACGGAGCCCTGCGTGGGAGTTCTGTGCGTGCGACTCCCGCGCGTGCGAGCTCCGTCCCGTGCGAGTTCCGTCCCGTGCGAGCTCCGCTCCGCGCAAGCTCCGCCCCGTACCAGTTCCGTGCGTGCGTCCGTGCGGATGCCGCTCCGTGCGAGCCCCGTCCCTTTCTATTGTCGGGGGTGCACAGAGCCCCCAACAGTTTTACTAAAGGGAGGTCTGTCCATCCCCGATATTGACTTCGTCCTGCTGGGCAACCTAATTCCTGGACCCCCCTGTCAACGGGGGCCTTGTCTTCGGTTTCAAGAATCGGGGCAGGCAACTCCTGCCTGCGCGAAGCCATGGCGCGGGCATTGGGTGACGAGACCTCGCAGGAGCTAGGCGCGCACTCAGCCAACGCCTTGGTGGACGTGAAGAGGTTCTACGACTCCCTGGTCTTTGAGAAGGTGGCGAAAAGGGCGCTGGAGTACGGTTTCCCCCCGAGGGTCCTGGCCATGGCGATGCTACTCCACCTCACCCCGAGAATGCTAAAGGAGGGCAAGGCGTGCAGCCTGCCCATCTACGCGAAGCGCAGCCTCTTGGCAGGCTCCAGACACAGCAACAACTTAGCGAGGACTCTCATCTACCACGTGGTGAAGTCCATGACCAGCCTCGTCCCAATGGTGCAGCCTAGAACTTGGTTCGACGACATCGGTTTGCGGGCGGTAGGAAGCATCACCAAGGTGGAGGACTGTATCGTCAAGGCGACCTACGAGCTGGCAAAGGCGCTGAACACGGAAGGGCTCTCCATGGCGGGCAAATCGGTCCTGTTCAGCACGGACTTCGACACGACAAAGAGGGCAACCCATAGACTGAAAAAGTTAGGTGTGACTATCAGAGGAGCCACAGAGGGGCGAGACCTAGGACTCGATCGAGCAGGTAAGACATGCACGAAGAGAGCGACCCACAGCGCAAGGAGGCGCAAAGGTTTTAAAAGGTTCGCGGCCATCACGAAGAAGCTCAAGAAGGCACGTACCCGCAGACAGGTCATCGAACAGGGACCCATGGCACAGGTCGGGTACGGCACGAAGGCTTACGGAGCTAGCCCAACAGAGCTCACAGCCATCAGGAGGAGGTACGCGAAAGGACTAAGGAAAGCATGGCCAGGAAGATGCCTCACCACGCTGCTAGACCTCGAAGGCGCAGACCCTGGCATCACCATACCCAGGAACCAGATCCAGGCGTGGTTCGACCTCTGGGCCAGCCGCCCAGACCTGCGAGCTGGAGCACGACGAGCATGGCCGAAGATACGAGCGCGACTCCTAGAAGCTCCGAAAGCTACGAGATGGCAACAGAGGAGGGGCATTATAGGCGCGCTGATCCTGCAGCTCTGGGAGATCAACTGGGACGCGAAGACGGCAGACTACTGGGAAGACGCCGCAGAAGGAGGATGGCAGTTACAACCAGACGAAGGAGATGATGACCCCACGGTGATCCTCGACGCCATCACCAGTGACCTCAAGAAAGCAAGGTGGAGGCAAGCCAGCCTTCACCACAACGGCGAAGGTCTACAACACGGAGTAGATACCTATGACATGAAGATGCAGCTCAGGCGCCTCAGGAAGTATGGGAAGCACCAGATGTTCGGAGCCATCCTCACGGCAGCATGTGCAGGGACGTGGTCACCACAGAGGAGGAAGGACACGTTCGGGGGCGACACCTGCAACATGTGCGAGTGCGGAGAGGTAGCGGACGACTTCCACATCATCTGGGGCGAGTGCCAATGCAGGAGCGACCACAACATCTACAAAAAGACGGAGAACCTGGTGCACCGAGCCAAGCAAGGGAAGACCGAGTGGGCAGCGTTTTGGCTTCGAGGACTCACGCCAAAGGATTGGACGACCCCATCAGAGTGCGAGACGGAGTACGAGGCAACGCGCACGGGCTCGGCGGCCAACATCACCAGCGACAGCGACGGCAACAAGCTGTACCTGACGGAAGGCCACATAGTCTGTGGTGATGGAAGCGGAGGAACGCGTGGCGACGATGCAAGATACAGAAGATGCGGATGGAGCTGGGTCGTGTTGAACAACCAGAGCGGCAACTGGCAGGAGGAGGCTACAGTGCACGGCCCGCTCCCTGGACCGAGACAGAGCAACAACAGGGCGGAGATCACGGCGTTCCTGGACTGCCTGCAATCAACGGACGGCGAGCTCACCTTCTACACGGACTCGGAGATCCTATGCAAAGGCTGGTACGGTAAAAGGTTTCTACAGCAAGGATACAAGAAGGCGCGCGGGGACCTGTGGAAGAAGATCAGACAGCGACTCGAGGCACGAGGAGGCGAAGAACTGATCAGGGTCAGGCACATCGAAAGCCACATGACGATCGAGCAAGCGCGTGAACGAAGAGTGCCTGAGGAGGCATGGAGAGGCAATCTCAGAGCCGACGAGTTGGCAGAGACAGCGGCGGCATCACACGCTATCCCAGAAGCGCAAATGGGCTGCTACGACTGGGCCAGGGCTACATCGCACTTAGTCCGCACGCGAATCGGCCAGGCGTACATGGGGCAGTTCTCTCGGGTGAAGCCGATGACGTGGGAAGAAAAGGCAGAAGCAAAGGCCAAAAGGAAGAAGGAAAAAGACGTGAAGGAGAACTACCAGCACCTCTTCGAGCACACACCCCATCTACTACGACCTGATGGACGCATGTGGAGATGCGAGCGCTGCAAAGAGTCCATTGGCCGCAAACAGCGTTCACAGGCAGCGAGATGGTGGCTCCAGAAGTGCAAAGGCGAAGCTCGAGAACAGGACGAACGATACGAAGGGGCTCTTCGCAACGTAGTCCTCAAAGGAAAGGTATCCCACCACACGCGCGCCATTTGCTGGTCAAGGCACAAGGAGCGCTACTTCTGCTGGACATGCGGAGCCACAGCGGAGAAGCACCTGAGCCACAAGATGCTGAAGGATTGCGAAGGATGGCCAGCTGGACAAGCATCAAGGTACGCGCTCAAGTCGCTGAGACGCAAGAAGGAGTGGACACCAGGAACGGGTGCGAGGTGGAATCGAGACACAAAGGTCAAGTTCACGAAGTCCGAGGTCAGCAGAAGAAATACACCAGGCACTACTACGAACATCCGCAAGAAGGGGGAGATACACCAGGTCAAGCAAACGGACACCACCGACGACGGGAAGCTCGTCTCGCATTATTGCAAGAGAGTTGTGCCAAGAATGCAGTTGTCGAGCGGATCTTGATCTTGATCGACTGCTGCGAGGAGGCACCAGACCGACGGCCACGGAGGCCCCGTGGGCTGCGTGAAGGACGGCGGCAACATCCGCGTGCCGTCCATCTGAGCGGGAGGCTGACGCCTGCCGCTCCTGACAGTCGTTGACTGATAATAAAATTCGGGAAAAATCAGGGCGCCGCGGCCGTTATTTTCCAGGCTTGCGCCCGCCAGGTTTGGGCCTCAGGTCGTTTTCATTAAACCACGTTTTACTAAAGGGAGGTCTGCCCATCCCCGATATTGATTTTGTCCTACTGGGCAACCTAATTTTCCAGACCCCCCTGTCAACGGGGGCCTTGTCCTCGGTTTAAAGAAGCCGCCCTAATCAACCGGACCGCCCCGCTTCCAAAAAAGACGCCTTAAAAACCGAACCCGGGGGACGCTTATGATGGGATCTCGAGTAGCCTTTGACGGCCTTTTGGGGGATCCCCGGCAGCAGGCGAATAACGCGTTCGGCGGTGAGGGTGGGGTCTCGCGCAGCGGCGAGCCGATGACCAGGCTTCGCAAAAGCAGAGCACTCGTGGGCCACAACAGGGCGCCCAGGAGCCTGCGGGGGTGGCTCCCAGCGGCGGGCTGCACGTACCATCGAAGAAGAAAGGGCACATAAGCATATAATGTGTGGCGTTCCGGGCGGATCTCTCGCATCCGCGCTGGGAGCCCCCTGGCGGCGCCTCCGGCGCCGCCCCTGGCGCGCTCCGCGCGCCAAGGAGGGGGTCCAGCGCGGATCCAAGAAATCCGCGCGGAGCGCCAACAGTTCATTCTCGTGGCGTTTTTTCTTCTTCTAGTTTCGACAGCGGTAGTTGGCG